CTGATTTAAGATATACCCCCAAGAAGCCAATATAAAAATGGATAATTCTAAGGAAATAATATATAATAATCAAAGGGGCAAGAACGTTGCTTTAGATACATAACATACACAAAGTAACAAGTCCATGGATTAAGATATAAATGGAAAGTGGTCTAAAGAAGTTAGATGCACGAGACCTTTCCATACATATAAATATCATATCCTAAAATGTTCTTGGTCATAGGATCACTAATTGGACAATGGTGACCCGCAAAGACTGGTACACATTATGTCTACTCAATTAGGAGGATGACTAGTCTCAAGTCATTCGTGTAGAGACATTGAGATAGATGTGTAGGTGCTCTATAGAAGATGGAGTCTACTGAACGCGATCAACTTTAGAATTCTTGTATCGAAGTCTTACTCACAAGTGTCAAACAAAGAATTCTAAGTTGTGGTAATGCAAATTAATCCTTAGACCTGGGACATCACAGTTGTCTTGTGTATATGTTATTGCTCTTTGAGAGCACTATACAGTCGTATCAAAATGATGTAATTTAAAGGTGTTCCTCAGGATTCTCATCATGTACGCAGAGACAGGTGAATGTACAACAAGGAATCTCTGCTCTTAGTAAGAAGATAGAATACTCTAAAGATATGATTCGTGAATCTTTGGCCAAAGTATTGGATGGAAATTGAAACAAGAACGTTTGCAATTTCATCAAATTGAATCATATAATCAAGAGATGTCATATTAGGGATTTTTGACATAAGTTTACCATATCCCGAGAATATGACATAGAGTATTAAATTAGAAAAGGATCAAATTGCATTGTAATCACAAACTGACTAGGTTCTCTATATGAATTCTTTTTAGCTTGGGTAGCCATGACATACTGCTAGGTATCACTCATGGCTTATGGAAATCCTATAAGGACTAATTATAATTAACATTCACCAATAGGGAGAATTGTATGGAGGGATACAATTCACATTTGATTTAGAGTGAATCATTCATACCCATTGCCTCGCTAATTAGAATCTATAAGTTCGCACACCGAAAATTAATCGATTGGGAAATTATGAAGAGAATGAATGATTTTGTGACTTTGTCAAAGTCAATGTGAAAGTCAAAGGTCAAAAGGTCAAAGTCAAAAGTCAAACAGTTGACCCCCCACTTGACACGGTCAACTAAGGATGACTGGGACCAACACTCGTTAGATAAGTGAGTGATTGAATTAGTCAAGTCACTAGAGTAACTAAATTGATTAGATTAATTTAATTCAAAAGGGATTTGACCATATGGACTTAGGAACATATGTGACACATTATATGATTAATGTGTTGGACCACGATAGCAAAAGATGAGACACAAAAAAGGGGATGTGGCTACACTAAGGCTTGGGGGCATTTTTGTCACTCTTGTTACATTTTTGATCATATAAGTGTGTAGCTATGGAATCCTATCATCCTAGGGTTTTTCAAGTTGGTGAAATTGGAAGAGAGAAAACATCAAGCTCTCTCTCCCTAACCCCTTCATTCTATCACATCAAGTGAAGGTGCTAGCACCATTCTTCACTTGTTGTCTACTCATTCTCTCATCCTATTCAATTCTTTTTGAAGAGCTTTGGAGAGGTACATATCGTTGTACCTATTTGGAGAGCTACAAGGTGGAGAATCAACATCAAAGGGAAAGCCAACAAGAAAGAGACCATTCTCTCTACTTGAACACCATTCTTGGTTTCAAGATTCGCTCCAAGGGTATGAACATCTTATATTTCTCTCAAATAGGATTTAGAGAGTCATTGGTGCACACTTTCATAGATTTAATACATCGTATAACTTCTTCTGGGCTATGAATGTGTCCGTCCATCTCTCTAAAATCTTAACACACCAGCATAAGTACTCGAATCCCGCATATTTATGATGTTTGTTTGCTTTTATTTTTATCAGGTGTTTAATGAGATAAACTGCCGTGACATAGAGAAGATAAACATATTCATGGGCATGTTTGACAGCCGGGTATTCCTAGGCGTCGTGGTTTGCACAGTGGCCTTCCAAGTTATTATAGTAGAGTTCTTGGGAGCTTTTGCTAGCACTGTTCCACTAAGCTGGCAACTATGGTTACTCTGCATTTTACTTGGATCAGTTAGCATGCTTGTTGCAGTTGTGCTCAAGAACCCTCGTAGGAGGTTCCGCTTCTTCGCCGATCTCGATAAGCGGTCCGAGGCGTACAAGAAGTCTTTCTCTCTCTCAGGTTATGCAGTTTTTACGTTTTTGTTTTCATTTCGTTAAAAAAAAAAAGGAACATGCCGCTGTTTATAGAGGTTTTGTGGCCATTTATAGAAGCGTCTAACCAATTATCTTTATATATAGATCTAGAAAATATAGAAGACGAGAGAGGCATGAATCATGAAGCAACGGCAGTGAGAAATCCGATACAACTGCCATGGTGAAGAAAGGGAACCGTCATGGGAGAATGAGTGAGCGAGATGGGTTTAGCGGCACTAGTGAGAACTCAGGCAATAATGGAAATTTTGTGGGAAGAGGGTGGGGGAGAAGGAGGAAGAAAGAGGGAGATGGAAAGACTTTTTGGTAATTATTGCATTAATTAGGATATAATAATAATAAAAATTAAAAGGACTTAGCTTTATTAGATGAGTTGGCATGCCACATGGTTTATAAAGGATATTTTAGGAATAATGGTGGGTGGAAAGATAAGATTGTGTTTTTTCAAGTTTACATAATGGGTGGAAAGATAAGGTAAGTGGGGAAATAAGACATGAGGGTGGAAATAGCAGCACTTATAATAAAAAGACCTTTTTGACTCTTCCAATAATGGCAAGGGACGAAATTTCTACGAACTTTCGCATGACAAAAATGTCAAAAATAATGACTTTAAAACAAGAGGTTTCGTCGTGTTGGTAGTGGGTGGCCATAGATAGAGATTATTGGTTGTCTCTGTCCTATTTGATCCTTAAAATGGGAGGGTTGGTCACCCAAATTAGGGCATCGTGGGCACTTTAAATCACTTTAAATTTTTTATAGATGATATTTCATCCACTTGAGTTTCAAAAAGACGAGACAAAGGACAAAAACAGTAGAACAAAGAAGAATATCGGAGGTCAAGGAGAAGAAATAAAAATTCCTTGCTTAAACAGAAATCCTAACCCAAATAAAATAGGAAACTTAAAACTAGAAATCTGGAAATATGGAAAAGTAGAAATCCTACTAGAATTTAGAAAATTAGAGAATCTAGGAAACTAACAAATATATTAGGAAACTAATAAATTTACTAGGATCTGTGTATACTGCTTGTGAATCCCACATAGTTGGATAGAACTTCTTTAACCATTTGCCATTAATCGGTGCAGCATGGACTTCTTCATCTTGGTCCTGTAACCTCTATGCCCCCAATCCAAGGACTTGTTTAATTAGAAAAGGGCCTTCACATGTGGGTGACCATTTTCCATAACCAGCCACGTGGGATCCAAAGGGCAGAACTACTCTTCAAACGATTTCTCCCTCTTCAAAGCTATTGTTTTTAACTCTCTTATTATAAGCTCTTGCCACAGCTTCTTTTCCTGCTAAGAGTTTGTTGCGGGTATCAATTCTGCTCGTGTAACATTGCATGTGAATAATCTTCTCCAACTAAGTTATGCTGTTGGGCAATGACACATGGATTCTATGGATATAGCCAATGCAGATTTGCTGAGTAGAGCTCACATTTATCTCAATAATCCCATATACTTAGTCCATCTCACCACTTGGAAGTTGTATTTTGATGGGTCTAAAACCGACCTGGCTTCTGGAGCAGGAATTGTTTTAGAAGATCCATTTTGAATCAGACACTGTTATTCATTCCAGCTAGATTTTCAAGTCACCAACAACATAGCAGAGTACAAAGCTTTGATCATTGGCCTCGAGATGCTGGGAGATTCCATGCTTGTTATGAAGCAGATTGCTGGAGAATGCAAGTGTTTAAATCCTTCCTTAACTGTTTATTTGGCGGCAACCAGAAATCTCATGGCAGAATTTAGGGAAGCCACTTGGCAACATATTCCAAGGAAAGAGAATTTTACAGCCAATGAAATGGCTCAGATAGCCATAGGAGTACAAATACCTGAAGACTGCGTACAGAGAATCATCAAAGTGAGGAAGAAGAGTCTACCATCTATTCTGACCAAGGGAATGGAGATAGATGTCAATTCTACCATAATGACTGAAGAGGATTGGAGATTGCCTATAATTAGTTGTTTGCAGTAGGGGTGGGCACGGTACGGTATGGTACGGTATTGAGTCCGTACTGCTACAGATAACGGAAATTTAAATCGGTATGGTACGGTATGAGATTATAGTTTGCCAAAATTGGTACCGTACCGTGCCAAATCGGTATCGGTGCGGTATCGGTATCATTTCGGTACCAAAATGATACAACTAAAAAAGGAACCAATTCAATATTCAACACCAAAATAAGCGATGCCTAAGTTACAAATTCAAAGATTCAACATATTCAATATCCAAATCCTAATCAACATATTCAATATCCAAATCAACCAAATCAATATTTATCCATCAACAAATTCATCAAACCCAAATGGTTAAAACTCATGCATTATGGCTTACAAAACAAAATAGTTAAAATTATGCCTTATGGCTTACAAAAATACAAACACAATCCAAACATAAATGACAAAAACATAAAGTTATACTATTCAGTACGGTACGGTATTGACCGGTACCAAAATCTTGATACCGCTACCATGCCATATTCTATTGGTATGGTACTGAATATCTCCCCATACCAAATGAAACGGTATGGTACATGTGCGATTATGGTACGGTTTCGGTATTTTGGTTTAAGATGCCCACCCCTAATTTGCAGTATCCAACCCTTCCTTCCGAGAAGAAGATAAGAATCATGGCTTTGAACTATCTCATGTGGAATGGAGATTTGGTCCGAAAGAGCAAGGATGAGCTACTCTCGTGGTGGTTGGGGAAGGAAGAATACATGAAAGTCATGGGAGAAGTTCACGAGGGAATATGTGGAGCTCATCAGAACGGAAGAAAAATGTGCTAGCTGATCAGAAGGTACAGTTATTTCTGGCCTACCATGATGAAAGACTGCATAGAATATTCCAAAGGTGTGAAGCTTGCTGGAAACATAGACCAATCCAGCAAGCTCCCTCAGTTCCTATGAATCCAGTCGTTAAGCCATGGTCATTCATAGGATGGGCAATGGACCTCATTGGTAAGATCTATCCAACCAGTAACAAACACCACTGTTTCATCATTGTGGCTACATATTACTTCACTAAGTGGGTGGAGGCTAAACCAGTCAAATCCATTATATCTCAAGAGATCATCACTTTCATTGAGGAGCAAATTGTACACAGGTTTGGCATACCTGAATCAATTACAACTAACATAAGGACTTCCTTCATATCCAGGGAGGTGCAAGATATGGCAAGTAGGCTTAAGATCAAGTTACTCCAGTCTACTCCTTACTATGCTCAGGCAAATGGACAAGCAGAATCAAGCAACAAGGCGATTATTAATATCATCAGGAAAATGCTTGAGGAAAATCCAAGGCAATGGTATGAAAAGTTGTCAGAAACCTTATGGGCCAATAGAACTTCAAAGAGATAGAGGCAACTGCATGACCCCATTTTTAGATATATACCCTAGAAGCCAATATAAAATTGTTAATTTTAAGGAAATAATATATAATAGTAAAGGAGCAAGAATGTTGCTTTAGATACATAACATACACAAAGTAACAAGTCCATGGATTAAGATATAAATGGAAAGTGGTCTAAAGAAGTTAGATGCACGAGACCTTTCCATACATATAAATATCGTATCTTAAAATGTTCTTGGTCACCACTAATTGGACAATGGTGACCCGCAAAGACTGGTACACATTATGTCTACTCAATTAGGAGGATGACTAGTCTCAAGTCATTCGTGTAGAGACATTGAGATAGATGTGTAGGTGCTCTATAGAAGATGGAGTCTACTGAACGCGATCAACTTTAGAATTCTTGTATCGAAGTCTTACTCACAAGTGTCAAACAAAGAATTCTAAGTTGTGGTAATGCAAATTAATCCTTAGACCTGGGACATCACAGTTGTCTTGTGTATATGTTATTGCTCTTTGAGAGCACTATACAGTCGTATCAAAATGTTGTAATTTAAAGGTGTTCCTCAGGATTCTCATCATGTACGCAGAGACAGGTGAATGTACAACAAGGAATCTCTGCTCTTAGTAAGAAGATAGAATACTCTAAAGATATGATTCGTGAATCTTTGGCCAAAGTATTGGATGGAAATTGAAACAAGAACGTTTGCAATTTCATCAAATTGAATCATATAATCAAGAGATGTCATATTAGGGATTTTTGACATAAGTTTACCATATCCCGAGAATATGACATAGAGTATTAAATTAGAAAAGAATCAAATTACATTGTAATCACAAACTGACTAGGTTCTCTATATGAATTCTTTTTAGCTTGGGTAGCCATGACATACTGCTAGGTATCACTCATGGCTTATGGAAGTCCTATAAGGACTAATTATAATTAACATTCACCAATAGGGAGAATTGTATGGAGGGATACAATTCACATTTGATTTAGAGTGAATCATTCATACCCACTGCCTCGCTAATTAGAATCTATAAGATCGCACACCGAAAATTAATCGATTGAGAAATTATGAAGAGAATGAATGATTTTGTGACTTTGTCAAAGTCAATGTGAAAGTCAAAGGTCAAAAGGTCAAAGTCAAAATTCAAAGGTCAAACAGTTGACCCCCCACTTGACACGGTCAACTAAGGATGACTGGGACCAACACTCGTTAGATAAGTGAGTGATTGAATTAGTCAAGTCACTAGAGTAACTAAATTGATTAGATTAATTTAATTCAAAAGGGATTTGACCATATGGACTTAGGAACATATGTGACACATTATATGATTAATGTGTTGGACCACGATAGCAAAAGATGAGACACAAAAAAGGGGATGTGGCTACACTAAGGCTTGGGGGCATTTTTGTCACTCTTGTTACATTTTTGATCATATAAGTGTGTAGCTATGGAATCCTATCATCCTAGGGTTTTTCAAGTTGGTGAAATTGGAAGAGAGAAAACATCAAGCTCTCTCTCCCTAACCCCTTCATTCTATCACATCAAGTGAAGGTGCTAGCACCATTCTTCACTTGTTGTCTACTCATCTCTCATCCCATTCAATTCTTTTTGAAGAGCTTTGGAGAGGTACATATCGTTGTACCTATTTGGAGAGCTACAAGGTGGAGAATCAACATCAAAGGGAAAGCCAACAAGAAAGAGACCATTCTCTCTACTTGAACACCATTCTTGGTTTCAAGATTCGCTCCAAGGGAATGAACATCTTATATTTCTCTCAAATAGGATTTAGAGAGTCATTGGTGCACACTTTCATAGATTTAATACATCGTATAACTTCTTCTGGGCTATGCATGTGTCCGTCCATCTCTCTAAAATCTTAACACACCAGCATAAGTACTCGAATCCTACATACAAATGATGTTTTTTTGCTTTTGTTTTTATCAGGTGTTTAATGAGATAAACAACCGTGACATAGAGAAGACAAACATATTCGTGGGCATGTTTGATAGCTGGGTATTCCTAGGCGTCATGGTTTGCACAGTGGCCTTCCAAGTTATCATAGTAGTGTTCTTGGGAGCTTTTGCTAGCACTGTTCCACTAAGCTGGAAACTATGGTTACTCTACATTTTACTTGGATAAGTTAGCATGCTTGTTGCAGTTGTGCTCAAGAACCCTCGTAGGAGGTTCCGCTTCTTCGCCGATCTCGATAAGCGGTCCGAGGCGTACAAGAAGTCTTTCTCTCTCTCAGCTTATGCAGTTTTTACGTTTTTGTTTTCATTTCGTTAAAAAAAAAAATGAACATGCCGCTGTTTATAGAGGTTTTGTGGCCATTTATAGAAGCGTCTAACCAATTATCTTTATATATAGATCTAGAAAATATAGAAGACGAGAGAGGCATGAATCATGAAGCAACGGCAGTGAGAAATCCGATACAACTGCCATGGTGAAGAAAGGGAACCGTCATGGGAGAATGAGTGAGCGAGATGGGTTTAGCGGCACTAGTGAGAACTCAGGCAATAATGGAAATTTTGTGGGAAGAGGGTGGGGGAGAAGGAGGAAGAAAGAGGGAGATGGAAAGACTTTTTGGTAATTATTGCATTAATTAGGATATAATAATAATAAAAATTAAAAGGACTTAGCTTTATTAGATGAGTTGGCATGCCACATGGTTTATAAAGGATATTTTAGGAATAATGGTGGGTGGAAAGATAAGATTGTGTTTTTTCAAGTTTACATAATGGGTGGAAAAATAAGGTAAGTGGGGAAATAAGACATGAGGGTGGAAATAGCAGCACTTATAATAAAAAGACCTTTTTGACTCTTCCAATAATGGCAAGGGACGAAATTTCTACGAACTTTCGCATGACAAAAATGTCAAAAATAATGACTTTAAAACAAGAGGTTTCGTCGTGTTGGTAGTGGGTGGCCATAGATAGAGATTATTGGTTGTCTCTGTCCTATTTGATCCTTAAAATGGGAGGGTTGGTCACCCAAATTAGGGCATCGTGGGCACTTTAAATCACTTTAAATTTTTTATAGATGATATTTCATCCACTTGAGTTTCGAAAAGACGAGACAAAGGGCAAAAACAGTAGAACAAAGAAGAATATCGGAGGTCAAGGAGAAGAAATAAAAATTCCTTGCTTAAACAGAAATCCTAACCCAAATAAAATAGGAAACTTAAAACTAGAAATCTGGAAATATGGAAAAGTAGAAATCCTACTAGAATTTAGAAAATTAGAGAATCTAGGAAACTAACAAATATATTAGGAAACTAATAAATTTAAACTAATAAATTTAGGTCCTAGGCATCCTGCATCAAAGCTGTTGTACAAGATTGTTGACTTTAACTGAATTAATTCCTTCCTAACCATAGTTAACCAACGTTTATTTATTACAAGATATCTATGAACTTTTATGACGTAATACTAGTTTCTTTTGTAGGCTACTTGGGTAGAGTGGGCGTTCTTACTCACTGGCCTCTGCCTAGAGATTTTGTCACTTGCTTTTGATCAGGCTTCCTCCCCAAGTAAGCCCCAATATGCAATGTTTGGTATGATATTGGCTATTGCAGCTGTACTCATTTATCAAAAAGTACATTGCTGGTGGTGGTG